CAGGGAAATCAAGCCGGCTCAGTGAGCTTTCTTGGATCCAGAGCTGATCACATGAGGAAGGATTGCCCAAGAGGAAGGGCTTGGTGATGGGGCTGGCCATCGAGGTGCTCCTGGCCCTTAGGGGACCCAGAGGGGCAGCAGGGCCTGCCCACCGCCTCGCGGCCACGCCCACCACCCCGAGGCCACGCCCACCGCTGACAGAGGGTTGTGTAATTGTCCTTAGGAGGTCCCAGGACCCAGAGCGATGACACAGTGGATAAGGCTCTTGCCTCACACGCGGCCCATCTGGGTTCAATCTCCAGCATCCCCTAGGATTCCCCGAGCACCGGCCAGGAGTGATACCTGAGCACCGCTGTGGGTGTGACCCTCCCCCGTCAAAATAAAAAAGAAAGAGGGGCTGGAGCGATAGCACAACGGGTAGGGTGTTTGCTTTGCACGCAGCCGACCGGGTTCGATTCCCAGCATCCCATATGGTCCCCTGAGCACCGCCAGGGATAATTCCTGAATGCAGAGCCAGGAGTAACCACTAAGCGTTGCCGGGTGTGACCCTAAAAGCAAAAGAAAGAAAGAAAGAAAGAAAGAAAGAAAGAAAGAAAGAAAGAAAGAAAGAAAGAAAGGAAAAGAACACCCCAATTCCCAAACGTGAGGCGACTTGGCCACAGATGGAGTTGAACCCCTCAGAGATGGCTCTGGTGGCTGGAACGCTGCCCACCCCAGTTCCACCCCCCGGGGCTCTGCCATCCTCTCGTACTTCCTCAAATTCTAAAAAGGAAGAAAGAAAAAGAAGGGGCCTCTGTTAAAAACTGCTCAGCGTTCAGGGCCCGAGGGATAAGGACAGGGGTGAAGGCACTTGGCTGGCACGAGGCAGGTCCGGGTTTGATCCTTGGCACTGCATGGGTCCCCTGAGACTGCCTAGGAATGAGCCCTGAGCACAGAGTCAGGAGTGAGCCCTGAGCACAGCACCAATACCAAAACTCAAAAAGGAGGAGAGTGGCTGGAGCGATAGCACAGCGGGTAGGGCGTTTGCCTTGCATGCAGCCAACCCAGGTTCGATTCCCAGCATCCCATAGGGTCCCCTGAGCACCACCAGGAGTAATTCCTGAGTGAAGAGCCAGGAGTAACCCCTGTGCATCGCTGGGTGTGACCCTCCCCCCAAAAAAAAGGAGAGAGGAGAGAGGAGAGGGAGAGAAGAAGGGGTGGGGGGAAGGGAGCCCTATGGGCTGGAGCACAGGCTTTGCACCCCAGGGGGCCCAGGTTCAATTCCTAACACTTCATGGTCCCCGAGCACTGTGCAGGGAGCACTGAGCAGGGTGTAGAACATAATCAAATGCAAAGTGCAGGAAAGACGGCCTGGGACCAGCTGCCCTTGGTCTGTGACCTGTATGGTGGTTTGATCCTTCCGAATATCTAACCTAAGGGACCCCTGACCCCCCCGGCCCTGGGGGTAAATGCTGTGTGGTTCATTGCTGCAGTGCAATACTGTGGGCAAAGACTCAGGCAGGGCATTTGCCTTGCACATGGCTGACCCGGGTGTGAGCCCCGGAAACCGGTTAGGATCCCTCCAAGTGCCTCCAGGAGTGACCCCTGAGCTCAGAGCCAGGAGTAAACCCTGAACACCGCCAGGCGTGGCCACAAACTAGAATTCAAAGCAAAGAGAAAGACTGCAAGTGATAAAAGCCCACTTAAGGGGTGGCGTGTACCTCCAGATGAACGTGGAGCTTCACGGAATTGTTCAGGAAAGAAAGCCCTCAGTTTCCTGATATTAGGGGCCAGACAGAAAATAGTGCAGTGGGGAGGGTGCTTGCCTTGCACGCAGCCAACTCGGGTTCCATCCCCAGCATCTCAGAGGGTCCCCTGAGCACTGTCATGGGTGTGGATGCAAAAAATAACCAAAAAATAATTTCCTGATATTAAAATAAAAAGAATGCGCTGGAGAGACAGGACACAGGTGAAGCATTTGCCCTGCATGCAGCTGACCCCCACAACTTTATACCCTTTTTTGTTTTCTTTTGGGGCCACACCTGGCAGTGCTCAGGGGCTGATTCCTGGCTCTGTACTCAGGAATCACTCCTGGTAGTGCTCAGGGATCTCTATGGGATGCTGGGGATTGAACCTGGGTTGGTATGTGCAAGACAAATGCCCTCCCCACTGGACTAATGCTCCAGCCCCTTGGTTTTATTCTTTTTTTTTTTTTTTTTTTGCTTTTAGGGTCATACCCAGCCGATGCTCAGGGGTTACTCCTGGGTCTGCACGCAGGAATTACTCCTGGCGATGCTTGGGGGACCATATGGGATGCTGGGAATCGAACCCGGGTTGGCCACGTGCAAGGCAAATGCCCTCCCCGCAGTGCTATTGCTCCAGCCCCCGGTTTTTTTTTTCAGTCGTGTGATAATGTATGTATAGGAAAGGGCTGCAAAGAAATGTACAAAATGTTAATAATGTTAATAATAGTGATTTTCACAGGCCTCAGTGAGAGGCAATCTCTCTCTCTCTCTCCATACTCAGTGATGCTCAGGGCTTACTCCTGGCTCTGCACTCAGGAACGACTCCTGGCTGTGTTCCAGGGACCCTAGGAGATGCCGGGGATTGATCCCCGTCTGCCGCATGCAAGGCAAATGCCCTCCCGCAGTCCTATGGCTGCAGCTAGGGGCCCGCGATTTCATATCTGATGCTTTTCCCTCCCATGAGGAGCCCCTGTTCTCCTGGGGGTTGACTGTGTGTTGTCACATAAAGCAGCTTTGAAAAAGAACCCCAGTTTAGTCACAGAAAGAGAAAGAAAGTCAGAAGCCCCTCCCCGAGGCGCGGAGGCAGCGTCTAGGGAAGGAATGGTTCTGAGCCAGGAAAGAGTTTTTTGTTTTGTTTTGTTTTTTGCTTTTTGGGTCACACCCAGCGATGCACAGGGGTTACTCCTGGCTTATGCACTCAGGAATCACTCCTGGTGGTGCTCGGGGGACCTTATGAGGTGCTGGAGATCGAACCCAGGTCAGCCACGTACAAGGCAAATGCCCTACCCACCGTGCTATCGCTCAGGCACAGGAAGGAGAGATTTGAGGAGGCAAATTAGGTGTTGGGGTGTTACCCTGTCAAGCGGCTGCAATGTGCTTTTCACTGTGATGTTCCCTGTAAGTTTCAGGTCATGAGTCTTCCTTTTCTCCTGGCATCCTTATTATTATTATTATTATTATTACTTTGCTTTGGGGGCCCGCAGGCAGTGGTGCTCAGGGTTGACTCCTGACTCTGTGCTCATGGATCACTCCTGGCAAGACTCGGGATCATATGGGGAACCAGGAATTGAACCCGAGTTGCTGCATGCTAGGCAGGCACCCAGCGGCCCACTGTCCAATCTCCCTGGTCCTTCTGGGTTATTTTTAACCCCTTCTATATCTGCCGCCCTGTTTTGGTTTTGTTTGGCCACATCCGACAGTGCTCGGGGGCTATTTCTGGCTCTGTACTTAGGAGTGACGAGCCCTGGTGGTGCTTGGGGGCCCCTCTGTGGTGGCCGAAAGCAGAGGGGGTTGTTGACTGCGAGAACCTTAACCCCTGACCTAGCGCTCCAGCCCCAAGCAAGATCTTTTTGCAAATAAGACTGAACTTGGGTGGGGGGGTGAGAGTACAGCAGCTGGGGTGTTTGCCTTGCATGTGGCCGACCCGGGTTCAATTCCCGGCATCCCATATGGTCTCCCAAGCACCGCCAGGAGTAATTTCCGAGTGCAGAGCCAGGAGTAACCCCTGAGCATCGCAGGGTGTGACCCAAAAAGAAAAAAGAGAGAGAGAGACCCCAAGTCATCGCCCATGAATGGCCTTTCTGGCTCCTGATCAAGCTGCTTAATGGCCATGATCCCATAGACTCAGGAACAAATCTCGGAACCCAGCAGGTTTTGGCAGAAATCCCTCCAGATTTAACTGTTAAAATTTTGAAATTTCAAAATCGTGCGGCCACTACTGCAGCCACGCAACATCATATGTTATTCTTAATCAGCAATAGAAAACAGATTGTCTACTGTTGCCTTTTCAGCAGATCTGAGTGTTGAGGTAAAATCCCAAATAATAATGGTGGGTCTGGTGTCAAAATATTGAATGTGATCAAAGTAGAGAGAGAGTAATGTGGAAATCATCTGCCCCACAGGTAGCAGGAGGGTGTGGGATGGGGGTATACCGGGGGTTTTGGGGGTGGAGAATGGGCACTGGTGAAGGTATGGGTGTTTCATTGTATGACCAAGACTTAAACCCGAAAACTTTGTAACTGCTCTCACGGTGATTCACTCACGGTCACGGTCACGGTCCTCCCGTTGTTCATCGATTTGCTCGAGCAGGCCCAGTAATGTCTCCATTGTGAGACTTGTTGTTACTGTGTTTGGCATATCGAATACGTCACGGGTAGCTCTGCCGTGCGGGCGAGATACTCTTGGTAACTTGCCGGGCTCTCCGAGAGGGGTGGAGGAATCGAACTCAGGTCAGCCATGTTGGCTGCGTGCAAGGCAAACACCCTACCGCTGTGCTATCGCTCCAGCCCCACGGTGATTCAATAAATAAAATTATAAAAAATTTAAAAAAAAAGATGAGCATGGGGGTGGGGTGATGTGGAACAATAGTACAGCAGGGAGGGCACTTGTCTTGCACGCAGATAACCTGGGTTCGACCCTGGGCACTACTCTGTAGGACTCCCCGAGCAATGCCAGGTATAGCCCCTAAACAAAAACAAAAAAAAGACTACCTAAATCTTTCTATGGTGCCCTGGGTTCACACATAATCCCATCTACCCCAGGATAACGGGTTTCTTTCCCTTTTCTTTGGGGGGACGAGGGGGTTTAGGGGACACACCCATCAGTGCTCAGGGGTTTACTCCCGGCAGTGCTCGGGGGACCCTATAGGGTGCCAGGGATCAAATGCGGGTCAGCCGCCTGCCAGGCAAGCCCCCTCCCCACTTCCAGCCCCAGGATGAGGGGCACGCGGTGTCTGGCTGTCAGCCCTCATGGACTTGCCTCCCTGTCCCTCCCCAGTCAGGACAATGTCGGGGGACCTGCCACTTAGCATCAACATCCAGGAGCCGCAATGGGACCAGAGCACTTTCATCGGGAGAGCCAACCACTTCTTCACCGTGACCGACCCCAGGAACATCCTGCTGACCAATGAGCAGCTGGAGCACGCCCGGCAGATTGTGCATAATTACAGGTTGGATTCGGGGCTCCCAGAATTCGGGGCACCATTCCTTATCTCTTTGGGTTTTTTTTTTTTTGCCTTTTGGGTCACCCAGTGATGCACAGGGGTTATTCCTGCCTCTGCACTCAGGAATTACTCCTGGCGGTGCTCAGGGGACCATATGGGATGCTGGGAATTGAACCCGGGTTGGCTGCGTGCAAGGCAAACGCCCTACCCGCTGTGCTATCTCTCCAGCCCCTCTTTAGGGTTTTTTTGGGGGGTACACATGGCGGGGCTCAGAGGGCCCTAAGGGGGCGCGGCGGACAAGCAGGGTGCCAGGCCAGCGCCCCTGAGCCCCGTCTTGGTTCGAGAGGAAGAGCAGGGGTCACGGAACCCAGGGAAATTCAGGGTTTACGGCCTCCCCCTAGACAAGGAGTCGTGCCTCCCGGCCTGACGGAAAATGAACTCTGGCGCGCCAAATACGTCTACGATTCCGCTTTCCATCCCGACACCGGCGAAAAGATGATTCTGATCGGCAGGATGTCGGCGCAGGTGCCCATGAACATGACCATCACCGGCTGCATGATGACGTTTTACAGGTGAGCTGGAGATGCCGCCCCCTAGTGGGGAAGGCTAGAATCGCACCTTGTGGTAGAGGGTGTGTGTGTGTGTGTGTGTGTGTGTGTGTGTGTGTGTGTGTGTGTGTGTGTGTGTGTGTGTTGGGGGGTGATAGAAGGAAATGAGTAGGTAATAGGTGAGGGAAGGCGTGATAGGAGCTTGGGGTGACTTTCTGTTGGTTCACTTAAAGATTGCGCCCCTGGTGGTGAAGGTTAGAATTGCACCTTATGGGGGAGAGAGAAAGAGAGAGAGAGAGAGAGTGTGTGTGTTGGGGTGGGGCAGGTGATGGAAGGAAATGAGTAGGCGGAACTGAGGGGGGCAGCTTGGGGTGACTTTCTGCTGGTTCCCTTAATGACAGTCATTTTCCAGCCCAGTTTGGGTCCCACCGGCAGATGCTAGAGGCCAGCCGCCCTGGACTGCAGTGGGCTTGTGACACTTGCTCTATTGCAGGACCACCCCCGCGGTGCTCTTCTGGCAGTGGGTGAACCAGTCCTTCAACGCCGTGGTCAATTACACCAACAGAAGCGGAGATGCCCCCCTGAGTGTGAAGTAAGTTTTTTTAGACTGCAGAGGAAATGAGGTCCTGGGGTACCTTAGGGAATCCCAGCGTTCCCGGAAGCACTCTCCCTGTTTCTGAAAGCCACTTTGCATTCATGCCCTGTATTGTTTTTTGATGCTCATGAAGTGTTGCTTTTTAGTTGTTGTTCATGGTTTTTTTGGGGGTGGGGGTGTTCATACCTGGCAGTGCTCAGGACTCCTGGTTCTGTGCTCAGGGACCACTCCTGGCAGGCTCAGGGGATAAAAACGATGGTGTCGGGGATTGAACCCAGGGACTCACATCTGCCAGGTACACTTCTACCAAGGTTTACCATCTCCATGACCCACGTTGTTTGTTTTTATACCACGGCTGGCACAGATTGTATGCCTGGTGTAATTCCTGTTTGAGATGGTTGCAATGTGGATGTGGTTTTTCTCCATGGTGTCCCTGTGAGACTGAAGTGTATGATTTTTTTCTTTTTTTTGGGAGGGGTCACACCCAGCAATACTCAGGGGTTTACTCCTGGCTCATGCACTCAGGAATTACTCCTGGCGGTGCTTGGGGGACCATATAGGATACCGGGGATTGAACCTGGGTCAGCCATGTGCAAGGCAGATGCCCTACCCGCTGTACTATCGCTCCGGCCCCCTGATTTTTTTCTTTTTCTCTTGGAATTTTTATTATTACTTATTGTTATTATTTTGCATTGGGGCCACATAAAACGGTGCTCAGGGATCACTCCCAGTGGGGCTCAGGACCATATGAGGTGGAGGGGACCAAACCCAGGTCAGTGCGTGCAAAGCCACTGTACTGTCACTCTGGCCACTCCCTCCCCACCTTTTATTATTTTGGTGATTTGATTTTTTTCAAGGAGGATGTCTGTGGAACCTAAAAGAAAGGGCTTAAAACTTTACATCTTAAGATGGATGAAAGATATGCTAGCAGACATCTTCACAAAGCTTAGAAATTTACCAGTGTTTTTTTTTCTTTTTGGGTCACACCCGGCGATGCACAGGGGTTACTCCTGGCTCTGCACTCAGGAGTTACTCCTGGCGGTGCTCGGGGGACCATATGGGATGCTGGGAATCGAACCCAGGTCGGCCGCATGCAAGGCAAATGCCCTACCCACTGTGCTATCTCTTCAGCCCCATTACCAGTATTTTTATTTCTTTAAAATAACTTTTTTTTTTTTTTTTTTTGCTTTTTGGGTCACACCTGGCGAGGCACAGGGGTTACTCCTGGCTCTTCACTCAGGAATTGCTCCTGGCGGTGCTCGGGGGACCATATGGGATGCTGGGAATCGAACCCGGGTAGGCTGCGTGCAAGGCAAACACCCTACCCGCTGTGCTATTGCTCCAGCCCCTGAAATAACTTTTTTAGGGAGGAGGGGGAGGGGCTTTTGGGTCACACCTGGTAGAGTTCAGTGCTTACTCCTAGCTCTGCACTCCTGGCAGTACTCAGGGGACCCTACGGGATGCCAGGGATTGAACCTGGGTCAGCTGTGTGCAAGGCAAGCGCCCTCCCCACTGTCCTATAGCTTCAGCGCCTCTTTCAAGTGGTTGTTGACAGTCCTCATCATACGGAACAAAGGACATGGAAATCAGCAACTACCAGTTTCTCGCACTTCATTTCATCCCATCCTGAAATAAACTTTCAAAGAAGGGACAGCCACAAATTTGACCACTAACTCTACATGATGCTGCGGAACTGAAGGGAGCCAGGTTTGCAAAAGTAACAGAAACGGATTAACTTCAGATTGTGCTGAGGTTGTCTATTCCATCCTAGTTCCGGGTCAAAAAAAAATTTTTTTTAATAATGGGCCGGTGCGATAGCACAGCGGGTAGGGCGTTTTCCTTGTATGCGGCCAACCCGGGATTGATCCCTGGCATTCCATATGGTCCCCTGAGCACTGCCAGGACTAATTCCTGAGTGCAGAGCCAGGAGTAACCCCTGAGCATTGCTGGGTGTGACCCAAAAAGAAAAATTAATTAAATTAAATAAAACAAGGGCCCGAGGTGCCAGAGTGATAGTGCAGTGGGTAGGGCTCTTGTCTAGCATGTGGCCAACCTGGGTTCAATTCCCAGCATCCCATGGGGTCCCCCAAGCACCGCCAGGAGTGATTCCTGAGTGCAGAGCCAGGAGTAACCCCTGAGCATTGCTGGGTGTGACCCAAAAAGCAAAAAAAGGGGGGGGGGGGCGAGCAATAGTCCAGTGGGGGAGGGCAGGGCTCTTGCCTTGCACAGTCATACCAATTCAATCTGCTTCCCACAGGACCCCTCCCCCCAGCCCTGCCAGAACTGATCCCTGAGCACAGAGCCAGGGGCAAACCCTGAGCACTGCCAGATCCCAAAACTCAAAAGCAAAAGTCTTTCCCGGCCCCTCTGCCCTCGGCGCTTATAGAAACGGTCCATCCTGACCCGCGCTCATTTGTTCTCTTTTCCAGCGAACTGGGCACGGCTTATGTTTCTGCTACCACGGGTGCAGTGACAACGGCGTTAGGACTCAACGCACTGGCCAAGGTACTGGCCTTGCTGGCTCCGTCTGAGGGCGGCTGCGGGTCTCACCTGCCTGGTCCCCTGAGATGCTCTTGTTCTTTCTCCAAATGGCTCAAGCCTAGCCAGAGGGAGATAGCACAGCAGGGAAGGCGCGTCCCTTGCACGCGGCCGACCGAGGTTCGATTCCCAGACTCCTGTAAGGGCCACAGAGCACTGCCAGGGGTGATTCCTGAGCTCCAAGTCAGGAGGAACCCTTAAGCATTGACAGGTATCCCTCCCTCAAAAAAAAACAATAATAATAATAATAACAAAACACCATTATCTAAACTCAAGCCATGGGGACACCGTTTCCATACTCAGAAACGGAATTGGTCCCCAAGAGCCCACATTAGAAACGGGCAAGCACCCCAGGGAGCTGAGATTCTCTCTCCAGACCTGAGTTTCTGTCCCAGTAGGATTCTGACCTTTTTTATGGGGTGGGGGGGCCTCCCAATTGACGCTCTTGCCGGGATGTCATGGCAGGGCGGATCCACGTGGGGCCCTGAAAATTCAGTGATACTTGGTATTGGGGACAACCAGGCACGCCCAGTGGGCCTCCGGATGCGGGGGTGGGGGGGGGATGGGAAACGTGGGATGTGTGGGATGCAGGGCGCGTCCCGTCCCGTAATTCCCCGACTATCTCCGCAGCCCCCGACTCTGCGCTCCCTAGCACTGGATTTCCAGTCGGTCGTGCCAGGGAGCGGCCGGTCACGCTCTCGGAATTCTCTTTCCCGCAGCGAGTCTCGCCCCTCATAGGACGCTTCGTTCCCTTTGCCGCTGTGGCCGCTGCGAACTGCATTAACATCCCGCTAATGAGGCAGAGGTAAGGGGGCATTTCCTGGGCGGCTCCCGGGGTCTTTGGGCTGGAGCACAGGGGCTGGCCAGAACGCGCTCTGCTCATCCAGAACTTTTTCTCTCTCTCTTTTTTTTTTTGTTTGTTTGTTTCGGGGGTCACACCCAGTGGTTCTCAGGGGTTACTCCAGGCTCTGCACTCTGGAATCACTCCTGGCGGTGCTCAGGAGAACCTACGGGATGCCGGGGCTCGAACCCGGGTCCAGGGCATGCAAGGGAAGCACCCTCCCCACTGTGCTACTGCTCTGACCCCATTGTTTCATTTCTTTTCTTTCTCTTTCTTACCAAGAAATCCAAATTGATTTTTATTTTATTTTGACTTGGTGGGGGTGCTCAGGGGAGCTTCCACCCGGCTCTAGGTTCGGGGATCACCTCCCTTTTTCTGTGCCTTGCCCTCCAGGGAAATCAAAGTTGGCATCCCAGTCACCGATGAGAATGGGGAGCGCCTGGGCGAGTCGGCCAACGCCGCCCGATCCGCCATCGGCCAGGTTGTGGTTTCTCGGATCCTCATGGCAGCCCCGGGCATGGGTGAGTCACCCTGCTTTCCTGTGGCAGAGAGATGGAAGGCCAGGAGAGAAGCCGTGAGTGACCCCCGCCCTTGGGAGCATTGGGCGGGGGCAGGCAGAGAGCAGACAGAGTCAGCAAAATACTGAGCAGGCGGGAGGGCGGAAAGGCAGGGTGTGTGTGGTGTGCGTGTGTGTGCGCACGTTCACTCTAAGCAGACAGGAGGGTAGAAGGAGACAAAGGGGGGCTGGAGAGATAGCACAGTGGGTAGGGCGTTTGCCTTGCACGCGGCCGACCCAGGTTCGATTCCCAGCATCCCATATGGTCCCCTGAGCACCGCCAGGAGTAATTCCTGAGTGCAGAGCCAGGTGTAACCCCTGTGCATCTCCAGGTGTGACCCAAAAAGCAAAAAAAAAAAAAAGGAGACAAAGGGACAAAGGGGAAAGGCAGGGTGTGTGTGTGTGTGTGTGTGTGTGTGTGTGTCTGTGTGTGTCTGTCCTGAGCTGGCTGAGCTCGAATCCCCCAATTGGATACACGCACGGCAGCCAAGCAAGCACCCTGCCTGCTGTACTTTTGTTTGGGAACCACACCCTGTGGTGCTCAGGGCTGACTCCTGGTCCTGCCCTCACGGATCACTTCTGATGGGGCTTGGGGGACCCGGTGGGGTATCAGGGATTGAACCCGGGTCAGCTGTGTGCAGGGTCAATTAAGGTCATAACTGCAGCTCCCACCCCAGGTTCACTTTTTTGTTTTGTTTTGTTTTGTTTTGGGGCCACACCTGGCGATGCTCAGGGTTTACTCCTGGCTCTGTACTCAGGGATTACTCCCTGTGGTGCTCGGGGGACCCTGTGGGGTGCTGGGGATTGAACCTGTGTCGGACACGTGCAAGGCAAGCACTCTCCCTACTGTACTATATAACTCAGCCACCACCCCAGGTTCACTTTTTTTTTCTGGGGGTGGGGTCATACCCAGTGTTGCTCAGGGGTTACTCCTGGCTCTGCACACAGTATTTACTCCTGGCGGTGCCTGGGGGACCAAATGGGATGCCGGGGACAGAACTCAAGTCGGCCATGTGCATGGCAAACGCCCTACCTGCTGGAATATTGCTTTGGGGCCCCCTCCCCCCGGTCTTTTCATTTTTTTTCAGGTCACACACCCAGCATGCACAGGTGCACAGAAGTTACTCCTGGCTCTGCACTCAGGAATTACTCCTGGTGGTGCTCAGGGACCATATGGGATGTTGGGAATAGAACCCGGGTCGGTCACGTGCAGGCAAACCCGCTGTGCTCTCTCTCCAGCCCCACCCCCAGTTTCATTTTTGATTGTGCTTTTTGGAGCTTAGGCCGCCTGTCAGCTCTGTTCCCAGTAGCTTGGTTCTTTGAAACGTGACCCCCATCGCTAAAGCACCATGATTGATCCTGCCTGGTAACCTACAGGGGTCAGTGACCAGACAGACAAGTCGGGGTAATGTGACCGTTGAGTCTGACGGAAGTTGCAGGACAGTGAAGTATTGACCTTGGCGTGTTTGAACCCACGTCTAGCAATGCTGGGGGACCATGCCGTGCTGGGGAGGGAACCCGGGGTTCCTGCATGCAGAGCCTGCGCTCAGCCCGTTGGCTCCCCAGCCCTCTGAGAATTTCTGAGCACTGTGGCATGGAATTGTCACTGCTGTGTGGATACCGTTTCCCCCACCGGACAGATGAAGCTCAGAGAAGTTTGCGGCCTCTCCCAGGGTCCTCCTCCCTTGCTGGCTGGATCAGGGGTTTCAGGAAGTTTCTGCCTTGACTTTTTTTTTTTAGGGGGGGCTTCTTTTATCTTTTCTTTTTGGGAGAGGACCACACCCCGTGGTGCACAGGGCTTCCTCCTGGCTCTGTGCTCAGGGATCACTCCTGGCAGGGCTGCGGGGATGAGGGCAGTGACTGAACCCAGATTGGCCCCCTGCAAGGTGTGAACCTTATCCAATCTATCAACCCACCAGCCCCTCTCAAAAAATAAAAAGTAAAAAAATTGGGTGTCATGCAGATTGGGCTGAAAATGGGCTTGAAATAAAGGCTAAAGAGACTCTGTTTAATTACTTGCAGCCATTCCCCCGTTTATCATGAACACGTTGGAAAAGAAGGCCTTTTTAAAGGTAAGTCCAGGTATTTTGTTGGTTTGGTGTGGTTTGGTAGTGCTCAGGGCTTAGTCCTGGCCAAACCCGCGATGCTCAGGGCTGGGTCTGGTGTGGGCGGGGCGAGCATCCTCCTCACTGTACTATCGCTTCACCCCGCTGCATCCTAACGTTTTGAAAAACGGGTTGCCGAACACAGCGCACAGGTCTCCAGTTAGAAAAATCAGGCTGCTTAAAGAAGTTAGCCGAGTGAAACCATTTTACTCCCAAAGTAAAATGACAAGGACTGTCAATGGTGGGGCAGGGGGAGATGGGTCAGAGGTCTGGGGTGTGTGCCTTTGCCTGCGGGAGCCTCCTGGTCCCCTGGGCCACATCTGTGTTAGCAATCGGTTATCTGCTGGCCAGTGGAAAGGTAACGACTGCATGACGGACTTATGGTATAAGAACTGTCTCTGTGTGATGTCCTCTGTACATTAAAATCGGGACTTGGGCTGGAGCGATAGCACAGTGGGTAGGGTATTTTGCCTTGCACGCGACCGACCCAGGTTCAATTCCCAGCATCCCATATGGTCCCCCAAGCACTGCCAGGAGTAATTCCTGAGTGCGCGAGCCAGGAGTAACCCCTGTGCATCGCCGGGTGTGACAAAACAAACAAAGCAAAAATAAATAAATAAATAAAATCGGGGCTTATCTGGGGCCAGAGCCATAGTACAGTGGGTAGACCATTTTGCCTTTGCCCACGGGCCCCGGCACCCCATGTAGTTCCCAGAGCACCTCCAGGAGTGACCAAAGATTAATTAATTAATTAAGGTAATAAGAATAAAATGCTGTTAACCCATTGGTGTAATTGACAAGCCCCGCCCATTCCCCCCCTCCTGTGTAATTGACAAGCCCCGCCTACTAGCCATAAACCAATTAGTGTGGTTGGCAGGCCCAGCCTACTTCTTCTGGCTTCCAGGTTTTGAAAACTAAAAGGGGGTTGGGGGCAGGGTTGGGAGGAGGGCCAGGGTGCCAGAAATGAGGGTAAGGCGCTAGCCTTGGATGTGGCTGACCCATTTTCATCCCCTGCCATTCTTTGGGTGTTCAGCCCTGCCGGGTATGATCCCTAAGAACCTCCAGGTGCGCCTCCAAAACCTGACAAAAGGATTTAAAAGAAAAAAGGGAAAGGACATGCTGTCTTTTTTATGCCAGCAATAGTGGTCACACCCATATTGAAAAGGACTGAAATCTAGGAAGCAAAGGGACAAATGGGGTTCTGCTAGGGGGTTCTGACCCTGAGCTTGGCCTCGTAAGTGTCTCAGCCCAAGTACCAGTGGAGAAAACTCTCTGTCTTCCCTTTACTCCTGTGCCATCCCAGCCCCAAGATTCAGGATAACGAGGGCTGGTGACTTCTCACTCCACCTCCCGTTCCACTCAACACCCCTCACAGGCTTTTGGGGGGACCATCAGAAATTGAGATGTTGCATGCCTTACTCCCCACTCCTAGGGGTGCTACAGAAGCCAGGCCTGACTTCCTCCCAGCAGTGATGCCCACAGATCCCTCTCATGGCATTGCAGAGGGCTCTTGGAGGTTCCCGGCAAGTCCCTCTGTGCCTGTCTCAAAAGTGTTCAGACTCCTGGGGTCCCAGGCATCGTCAAATGAGCAGGGTGCTTGCCTTCCAGGTGACCTACCTAGGTATGATCCTCACCACCCTGCATGGTCCCCGAACACCCTAAGAGTGGGCTCAGACCCAGCACCTCTGAGTCCAAAAACAATTCCCCCTCAAAAGAAAAGAAGAGAATTCAAAAACCTTTCTCGTTGCAGAGATTTCCGTGGATGAGTGCTCCCATTCAAGTTGGATTAGTGGGCTTCTGGTGAGTAAAATCTGTGACTTATATGTTTTCGCTTTTTGGGTTACACCCAGGGATACTCAGGGGTGTTCCACGTTCAGCACTCGGGAGTCACACCTGGTGGTGCTCGGGGGACCCTATGGGATGCCGGGGATCGAACCCGGTTCAGCCGCATGCAAGGCAAGCGCCCTCCCGCTCTACTATCACTCCGGCCCTGACATTTCATTTTTCTAATCATTCCTGTCTCCTTCCTGAGGAGAATCAGGGAGCCTTAAATTAGCAAGGAGAAGGCGCATGATATGGGCCACTCAGGATTCCGAACCCGTCACCGTCTTGGCCCCGGTATTATCAAGAGGAAGAGGCTTGTCTTCTGAGAAATGGAGGGTGTGGGGTGACTTGTATGATTTTGCTTCTGAACTCCGATAAGCACTTTGAATTTTGTTTTTTGTTCACCCTGGCAGTGCTCAGGGCTTCCTCCTGGCTCTGTGCTCAGGAGCTTGGGAGCACCTACGGAATGCCAGGGATTGAGCCTGGGTTTGGCTACCTGCGAGCCACATACCTTCCCCACTGGGCCCCAAAGCGTGAAGATTGTTCCAAGAGCGACCTGGAACCGTGGCCCATTTCCATGTCTCTGATTTCTCTTTCTCTCTCTCTTTTTACCTCCTGAAAGCCTGGTATTCGCCACGCCACTGTGCTGTGCGCTGTTTCCTCAGAAAAGGTATGTACGGGTCGGTCTTCAGAAGGATCACTGTCACTGTCCTCCTGTTGTTCATCGATTTGCTCGAGCGGGCCCAGTAACATCTCCATCGTGAGACTTTGTTGTTACTGTGTTTGGCATATTGAAGACATCACGGGGAGCTTGCCAGGCTCTGCTGTGCGGGCGAGATACTCTCGGTAGCTTGCCGGGCTCTCCGAGAGGGGCGGAGGAATCGAACTCGGATCGGCCATGTTGGCTGCGTGCAAGGCAAATGCCCTACCCGCTGTGCTATCACTCCAGCCCTCTTCAGAAGGATAGTGAAGTTTTGTTGTTGTTGTTGTTGTTGTTGTTGTTTTTGCTTTTTTTTTTTTTTGCTTTTTGGGTCACACCCAGGTTTGCACAGGGGTCACTCCTGGCTCTGCACTCAGGAATTACTCCTGGCGGCGCTCAGGGGACCATATGGGATGCTGGGAATCGAACTTGGGTTGGCCGTGTGCAAGGCAAACACTCTACCCGCTGTGCTCCAGCCCCAGGATAGTGAGTTTTATTTGGCAGTGGGGATTATCCCCAGGGGGCTCATGCCAGCCAAGTTTGAGCCCCACCATTGGTGTCACATCCGGGTCCCAGAATGACCCTGGGATTTTTTTTTTTTCTGATTGGGAGAGGGGTTATACCTGGCGGTGCTCAGGGCTTCCTCCTGGCTCTGCACACGGAATCAATCCTAATGGGAGTTGGAGGACCCTGTGGGTTGGCAGCAATGGAATCTGCTTTGGCCTCTGCTTGTACTATTTCTCTGACTCTACGTTGATTTGTTTTTGTTTTGTTTGGGATGCAAACCTGGCCAGGATGCTCAGGGGTTATTCCTGGCTCTGTGCTCAGGAATTACTCCTGCCAGTGCTGGGGATAGACACACACGCGCGCACACCACACACACACACACAGCCCATATGGGATGTCAGAGAACCAACCTGGGTCGGCCATGTACAAGGCAAGCCCCTACCCCTACTATCGCCTTGGTCTCCCCCATGTTTATTTTTGTTCCCTTTTTTTTGGGGGGGGTGATCTGGACATCAGGGCACACCCAGCAGTGCTCAGGAGCTTCCCCGGGCTCTGTGCTTGGGGATCATCCCAGGGATGCTCAGGGAACCGAATTTGGTGCTGGGGATCAAACCGAGATTGGCCGCACGCAAGGCAAGTGCTCTAACCCTGTGCTACCTCTCCAGCCCCAGAATGGTCATAAGTGTGACCAGATGAAGGCACGGGGGGGTGAGTTCATGGCAGTGCTGGGAATAGACACACACACACACACACACACACACACACACACACAGAGCGTACTGGTGGGGAACCTGAAATCTAGTGCAAGGCCCAAGCCAAGTTCTCCTGGGAATCAGAAAACTGAAACCGTGGGGCTGGAGCCATAGCACAGCGGGTAGAGTGTTTGTTTGCCTTGCATGCGGCCTACCTGGGTTCAATTCCCAGCATCCCATATGGTCCCCCGAGAACTGCCGAGAATAATTCCTGAGTGCATGAGCCAGGAGTAACCCCTGTGCATCACCAATGTGACTCATAAAGCAAAGAATGAAAGAAAGAAAGAAAGAAAGAAAGAAAGAAAGAAAGAAAGAAAGAAAGAAGAAAACTGAAAACGCATGTCTGTTTCCTTTCAAAACTCCTTTCATGGGGCCAGAGCGATAGCACAGCAGGCAAGGTGTCCTGCCTTGCACACTGCATCCCATAGGGTCCCCCGAGCACCGCCAGGAGTAATTCCTGAGTGCAGAGCCAGGAGTAGCCCCTGATCATTTCTTGGTGTGAACCAAAAGGCAAAAAAAAAATCCTTTCTTGTGGTTTAGGGGTCCAGGGCTGACTCTGGGCTCTGTGCTCAGGGGCACCCTTACGGCAGGCCAGGGATGGAACCTGGGTTGGCCACAGACAAGGCAAGCATCTTCCCTGCCGCCCTCTGTCTCCAAGCCCACACAGGTGCCTCTCTGAGTCCAAACCCTCCCCTTCTCTCCCCAGCTCCATGTTGGTCTCAAGCCTGGAGCCCGAGCTGCAAGCCAAGATCCAGGAGAGCCGCCCGGAGGTACAGCGCGTGTACTTCAACAAGGGATTGTAACAGAGGGAGAAGGAGAGGGAGAGAGAGAACTTCCAGTCCAGCTGTCCTGCCAATCATGGACCTCGTGAGCAAGACCCACCGGGTCCTGGGACCTTCCAGAGAGCCGCGTCTGGTATTAGCCTTTGCCCTTCAAGCTCCTCCCTGCGCTGTGCCGCTGTCTGCCTCTCTCTTCTCTGTCACCTGGTCACCTGATCACCGACGCACATCCCCTCCCTGGAGCTGGTGGGCAGATTGGTCTCCCAAGACAATCCAAGGCATAAGCACATTGCACATCCCGGGGGCCTTGCCGCAAAGTCCAGTAAATAAACACTCACCCTCAGGATGGATGATTTGCCCGTGAAGAAGATCGGGTCAGGATACTGATTTTCCCTTTTTTCCCCTTTTCCTTTTTTTTTCCCCCTCTCCCTATCTTGTTTCAAATCGAGGCAATCACTGAAGTGAGTTGGGCAAATTGAGCCTGAGTCGAGACTGTTAAAAAAAAAAGTATAAAATTAAAATTATTAAAGAGATCTAAATACAAACATATATGCCCTTAAGGGCAGCGCACTTTCCCCTTTGGGTCATGGGGAAGGAGCTGCAAAGAAATGACGGGGTTTTGAATTTGGAAGAGTTAAAATTCCCCCTCCCCCAGGGACTGGAGTGATAGCACAGTAGGTAGGGCGCTTGCCTTGCACGCGGCAGACCAGGGTTTGATTCCCAGCATCCCATAGGGTCCCCCGAGTACTGCCAGGAGTAATTCCTGAGTGCATGAGCCAGGAATAACCCCTAAAAATAACTCCCCCAAAAGGACTGGGGCGATAATACAGGGGGCATTAGCCTAGCACTGCAGCTGACCTGAGTTCGATTCCAGTACCCAGTGGGGCCTCCCAAGCACTGCCAATTCTGAGTGCAGAGCCAGGAGTAACCCCTGAGCAACACCAGGTGTGGCCCCAAAACATACAAAAGAAACCCCAGATCTCTAGGGTCTTTGCAGATGCTGTAGAAACTGGTGGGCGTGGGTGCTTGCGTGTGTGTGGGGTGGGGGGTGTGTTTCTTGGTGCTTGCGTGTGTGTGGGGGGTGTTTCTTGGGTGGGTGCCTACGTGTGTGGGGGGGGGGGTGTTTCGTGGGCTGCTGCTCTGTTTTAGGGTGGCTGCTGGATGCTGCTCTGATGTCGCCCCTCTTCCCCAGCCCTGAAGGACCTTTAATTTCTCTGGGCTTATTCCACTGGGGCCGGGCTTTGTTGGGCTCTGAGGCCCAGTTCAATTTGATTTTCTGTCCTTGAGACACGACGCACCTTTTCCAACGGTCCCCTTGGAAGGTCAGAGAGAGAGAGGGGCAGGGGTGATGGGTGTAGGGAGGCGAGCGCGCAGGGGAAACGCACACCCTCCTTCCACCCCTAGTAAGTTACACTCGGCCGAGGCCCGGAACCTGGCAGCCTGCTTCCGGTCTGGTAAATTTCACCCGCTGCTGACTTCCTGTCTCGTAAATCTCACCCATCCTTGCGTTGAAGGCTCGGAGGCTGCTTTGCAGCCGGGACCGTTTCAACCCCCCAACCAAGCCCGGTGACTGTCTGTACTGTGGCTCCCATTGTTATTGACAAGCTTGTAAAAGGGGGAGAAATGTCTACACTAATTTTCTAGAATGCTTTTTTAAAAAATTTTGCGTTTATATAGTTGTTTACAACCATTCATTACAATTAATATTCAAACACCAGGGGCCGGAGCGATAGTACAGCCAGGATGCCTTGCATGCGGCTGACCCGGGTTCGATCCCCAGCATCCCATAGGGTTCCCCAAGCACCGCCAGGAGTAACCCCTGTGCATCGCCGGGTGTGACCCAAAAAGCAAAAATTATTATTATAATAATAATATTCAAACACCAATCCCACTACCATCAGAGGAAAGTGTGTGAAGATTGTTGTATTTCATCCTGGAGCCATTTAAGCCCTTGTCTGAGAGATTCCAAGCATGTGTGTTAAACCCAAACAAATGTTGGTACCTCTTGGTACCTCCAAGGGCTGGAGCATGAGAGGTCGCCCCAGCAATTCTGAAATTTAAAGTATGATTATAGAGCAGATTCACTCATGGGCAAGGTCTATGTCACTCTCTTCTTGGCTGTTGGCTTTTTTTTTTTTTAAGGGGGAAGAGGTTGCACCCAGAGGTTCTCACACTTGAACTCCTGGCTCTGCACACAGGGATCCCCTGCAGGCTCAGGGGAGCCATAGAAGATGTTGGGGATCCAATCCGGGTCAGCTGCTTGCAAGGCAAACGCCCTGCCCTCTGTAACTGTGTCTCTGGCCCTTGTGGAAGCTTGCATTCTTAGAAGGTCGCCAAATGGAATTTCCTCATTAAAAAAAAGGGGGGGACGGGAGGGCTGGAGTGATAGCACATCAGTTGGGCATTTGCCCTGCAAGCAGCTAACCCGGTTCGATTCCCAGCATCCCATAGGGTCCCCCGAGCACCGCCAGGAGTAACTCCTGAGTGCATGAGCCAGGAGTAGCCCCTGTGCATCACCAGGTGTGACCCAAACAGCAAAAAAAAAAGGGGGTGGGTGGGAGGGGGCAAGGCATAGAGTGATACAGTCCAGCAGGGAACATGCTGGCCTTATGCAGCTGACCTGAGTTCCATCCTGGACGTTCCCCCTCCTGGCCCCAAGCACCACCAGTAGTGATTCATGAGACAAGAGTCAGGAGTAACCCCTAAGCATCACTGGGGGTGCCCCCTCCCCCCAAAAAAACCCCACAATTCTTTATTTCTCTTTTGTCCTTTCTCTGGTAGAATTCTTGAAGGGCTCAGTCATGAGGATTTTTCTCCTCTGTTGCCAAAATTTTGCTTGCTGACATTTTTCCCTCTCGAAGCACCCAAAAGTTTCCCCTGACATCCAGCCTTGGATGTCTTTTGTGCTTCTCTTTCTAAAAAAAAAAAAGGGGGGGTGGACCATACCATATGGTCCCCCCAGCCCCGCCAGAAGTAAATCCTGAGTGCGGTGCTAGGAGTTAAGCCCTAAGCCTCGTCAAGAGTGGTCCAAAAACCAAACTAATAAGTAAATAAAAGTGGTTATGGGACCAGAGAGCAGCGGGGCCTGCAGGAAGCTCAATCCCCAGCACTACCAAAAAAAAACGGCCTGAGACCTGGGACCAGAGCCATAGTCCAGCGGGGAGGGCGTTTGCCTTGCACGCAGCCAACCTTGGTTCGATCCCCGGCATCCCATATGGTTACCCAAGCACTGACAGGAGGAATTCCTGAGTCTTGAGTCAGGGGCAGGAGTCAGCCCCGAGCATCACTGGGTGTGACCCAAAAAGATAAAAACAAGCCTGGGATCCACGGCAAATCCCTCGGGAAGTGCTGCACGTGCAGGGCACAAAAAGTAAGGTGAGGGGCTCGAGCAATAGCATAGTGGGTAGGGAGTTTGCCTTGCACGCGGCCAACCCGGGTTCAATTCCCAGCATCCCACAGGGTCCCCCAAGCACTGCCAGGAGTGATTCCTGAGTGCAGAGCCAGGAGGAACCCCTGTGCCTCGCCAGGTGTGACCCAAAAAGCAAAAAAAAAAAAAAAAGTAAGGTGCTTCGTCCTTCCCCACCTGCCCACATTCCCAGAACCCTCCCCGCCTCTCTGACATCAAATCAGAGCTGTCACCAAACAGGTACCAACCAGTGAGAAGTTGACGAACTGACGGACAGGGGTCAGAGCGGTAATGCAGTCGGCAAGGCACCTGCCCTGTAGGCGACAATGCCCAGCACTGGACAGGGACCCCTGAGCACCCCCAGGGTGTTGAAAGAAATGAAAGAAAAACAAGTCTGATGGCCTGGGTTCGATTCCCAGCATCCCATATGGTTCCCCCCCCCTCCGCCCCGCCAAGCACTGCCAGAAGTAATTCCTGAGTGCAGAGCCAAGAGTGACCCCTGTGCATCACCAGGTGTGACCCCAAAAGAAAAAGAAGCCTAAACAAGCTTTCCTACAGGAGGGTTAATGAGACGAGTAAAGAACGAGGTTTTGTACGTGATCAAAGAGATTTGTCATTTTTACTTATTTTGTTGAAGCTTCTGCTTCTTCAGAGGCTTCTAGAGAGAAGCAGGGCTGAGTCACTTCACCCTGGTTCCTTTTTTCCAAAAGGGAACAAAAGAACCTGGTTGGCTCATCCCGAGTCTGGAGTAATAGGACAGCCAGGAGGGTGTTTGCCTTGCACGTGACCAACCCGGGTTCAATCTCTGGCATTCCTTAGTGTCCTCCGAGCACTGCCAGGAGGGACTCCTGAGGGCAGAGCCAGGAGTAACCCCTGAGCACTGCCGGATGTGCACCCCCTCAAAAAAAAAAAACTTACTCATCTCTTGGAATTCCCTTTTGGGGGTAGAAAAAGCCTAAAAGAATCCGAGATGGAGTTTGTCTTGGCGAGGGAAAGTGCTTCTGCAAAGCCGCTCGCAGGGAGGGTGATTGTCGGAGCAACCTGAGGGCGGTTTTTATTTCAGTATTAGCCCCGTGTGGAGCAGTGTTAGAATCATGATGTTACTTCCGTTTGCCTGAATGAAATGTTCAATAAAGGCAGAATGACAGTCGTGTCTCTCTGTTGTTTGTCCGCAAAGATTCAGACGGTTTAGGTCAGGGAGAGAGCGCCAAGGGTTGGGCACAGGCTTGCAGGCAGCATATCTCGGTTGGATCCCTGGACCTACCTTGGCCCTGAGCACTGCCGGGAGTGAGCCGTGAGCACTGAATCAGGAGTAGCCCTGAAAATGGACAAAAACCAGAAAGCAAAGAAAACCTGAACAGTTGTTCTCTGAAACCGGGTTCAATTGTATGAAGTTCTGCTTTATATGTAGATTGTTATACACTAATCAATGTGTCCAGTCTGATGCTGTACCTGGATTTTTTTTTCTTAAGATGATCCGAATAGGGGCCAGAGTAGTAGTACAGCGGGTAGGGCGTTTGCCTTGCAAGCTGCGGGCCTGGGTTTGATCCTCAGCATCCCATATGGTCTCCTGAGCACCGCCAGGAGTAATTCCTGAGTGCAGAGCCAGGAGGAACCCCTAAGCGTCACCGGGTGTGACCCAAAAAGCCAAAAAAAAATCTGAATAACATTTTCTTTCCAGCCTCAATGATAAGAATACTATCTATGGGACTGGAGCACAGCAAGGAGGGCATTTGCCTTGCACATGGCCAACCCAGGTTCAGTCCCCAGCATCCCATATGGTCCTCCAGCACAACCAGAAGTAATAACTGAGTTGTAGAGCCGGGATTAATCCCTGAGCATTGCTGGTGTGACCCAAAAAAGAAAAAAAAAGTACTCTATAATACACAGAATAATCTAATAGGGGCCAGAGAGATAATAAAGGGTTAAAGTGTTTGTCTTGAGGCTGGAGCCATAGCACAGCGTGTAGGGCGGTTGCCTTGCATGTGGCCAACCCGGGTTTGATTCCCAGCACCCCATATGGTCCCCTGAGCACTGCCAGGAGTAATTCCTGAGTGCAGAGCCAGAAGTAATCGCTATGCAACGCTGGGTGTGACCCAAAAAGCAAATAAATAAAGTGTTTGTCTTACACATGAAGCCAAGTTCTTTCCTGGGCACCACAGAGTCCCCTAAGCACTGCCAGGGTGACCCCTGGGCACACAGCCAGTAATCACCTCTGAGAACATCAGATGTCGTGACCCCCCTTCCCAAACAAAAGGTAATCGGCTACCTTATGGGTAAGGCTTTGCTCCCCAGCCGACTAGTAGGTAAACTTGAAGAGAATCATTTACATGGGGAAGGGATGGAGCCACAGCACAGTGGGGGGGGCGTTTGCCTTGCGTGCCGACAACCTGGGTTCCATCCCCAGCATCCCAAAGGTCTCTCAAGCACCGCCAGGAGTAATTCCTGAGTGCATGAGCCA